TTTGGGGTTTAGGGGTCTAGGGGTTTGGGGGTTTGGTGTTTGGGGCTTAGGGTTTAGGGTTTGGGGTTTAGGGGTCTAGGGGTTTGGGGTTTAGGGTTTAGGGGTTTGGGTTTAGGGGTTTAGGGTTTAGGGATACTGTACCGTTTCCACAGGTCTTGTAGTCCTTCAATGAAGGAACCTTGCAGCAAGACGTAGCAGGGAGTAGGGTTCAGAGCCCTAAGCCCTAGACGGTATGACCCTCAACCCCAAACTGAGGCACGAAACTCCTGTGACCTATGAAACTTAGCAGTTGCGTTTAGGGCTTTCGGTTCGCTCAATACTTCGGGCTCTATTACGGCTTAAGAATTAGAGGGGTGGTGGGTTTAGAGTTTAGGGTGTAGAGTGCAGGGTTTAGGGTTTAGGGTTTCTAGTGCTTGGGCCACACCCTTGCGGTTCAGCACCGCAGCAGCATGGGGCGGATGGTTGCACGCCGTGGCAACCAACATCGGAACGTTTCACCGCAACCGATGGGTAGTTCCCTACATTAGGTTCCCGTTTCAGGTCCGCAGCACAGTACGGCACCCCTATAAAAAGGACTTAAACCCAAAACCCTAAACCCTAAACCCTAAAACCTAAACCCCAAACTATAAAAAGGACCTCCTAAACCCTAAACCCTAAACCACAAAAGGGACCTCAATTTAGAGAACTGCCCCGATGGTGGAGCTCTGATCAGAGGAGTGCAAGAGGACCCCGGCAGGCCAAGGAAGCTCGAGACGAAGCGAGCGGTTTAGGGTTTTAGCTTTATAGGGGTTTTAGGGCTTTTAGGGGCTTTAGGGCTTTATAGGGTTTTAGTATCAGGGTTTATAGGGTTTTCGGGCTTCAGGGCTCTATAGGGTTTTAGGGCTTTAGGGGCTTCAAAGGGTTTTAGGGGTTTTAGGGTTTTAGGGGCTTTATAGGGTTTTATAGGGTTTTAGGGGTTTTAGGGGTTTTAGGGTTTTAGGGGCTTTATAGGGTTTATAGGCTTTTTAGGGTTTTAGGGCTTTAGGGCTTTAGGGGTCTAGGGTTAATGGGTCAGCTTAGAGTCTCGAGTCGGAGACTCGCATGGTTTTTATGCCCGAATGTCCCATGCTGTTGCGATGGAGACCCTCGACTAGCCGAAAGTATTTTTATGGCTTAGTGTTCAAGGTAACCCTAAACCCTAAACCCTAACCCCCAACTCCGTTAAAGCCACCCTCAAATCCCGTAGTTCCTCGAACTCGTTCTCATGCGGCCTCTTGTGGATCCGCATTCCCATGACAACCAGGGCCCACCCGTTTTGCAAAGCATCAGAGCAAGAAAAGGGAGAGCGCGGAATCCTGGGGTACGGTTCTCGACCAGCTTCGGCTTTTGGGGGGTGGTGCCTCTGGGAAACCCTCGGCACCACCCTAAACCCTAACCCTAAACCCTAAACCCTAAACCCCATGCCCAACACCCCGAATTTCTAGCCCGTAGACACGAGGACTTCATCTGAGGAAAGCTCGCAACCGCGCTTCAGTCTTGACCTTTCCACTCCTAAAGTAGGACCCAGCAAGCAGGAACATTTGTTCCGGGTTTAGGGTAGGATTCCTTGATATGTTTACAGAGATTTCTATAGTATTATGACGCCCAAAGCCTGATTATTATTGTTAGTGCCCCTATGTCACGTAGATCTTAATCTGCTCGATAAAAGTCGCTTGTGTGCTGAACCCGCACCTTTCCGAGGTTTCACTGCAATGGAGGGCTGGGGGGAGGTGGGGGTTCTGAATGAGATCAGGGCCTGCGTTGCACGCGGAATCCTGATATCCAAAACCGGCGCTAAACTAAAGCCTGAAACGAAGCTTTACCAAATCGGGGCCTAGTAAAGAAGCCAGAACAATTAAGAATACTAATCCTCAGGGCTCTTCATCACAAGTGTAGCAGAATGTGATCCAAAAAACTGTTCTAACTATTGACGCTGCTATATTACAACCATCTGAACCCCAACCTCGCTGGCGCAGAGCCTTGAAACCTCACGCCCCATCCAAGCCGTAATTTCTGACTCAGGCCCTCAAACCCCCTAAACCCTAAACCCTAAAACCTTAAAACTCTAAATCCTTAAACCCTAAATCCCCTATACCCTAAACCCTAAACCCAAAACCACAGCAGCCCTAAATCCTAAACCCTAAATCCTAAACCCTAAACCCTAAACCCTACCCTAAATCCTGTAACCGAGACGATCCGGCCCTGTGTGGCTCAAGCTTCCTTCGTCCCTTCTTCCCCTCTCGGCTCTCAACAGCTTTCCTGCACCCAAGCAGCACCATAATAGGTTTAGGGTTTTAGGGTTTGGGGATATATCAATAACATGGTAAAATGCACAAGCTAATACTATACTATCAGTTTTTGGGTAAGATGTACTGCACTATGCTTTTCTGCACCATAATCGTGTAACATGATGTAATTCATGTTCCGTATGTAATGTATAAAGTCAAGCACCAGGAAGTATGATGTAATAGATTGTAACATAGCGTCATACAACATTGAATAACGTAAGAGAACAGACTTAACAATACAACATTGCATAACATCAGAAAGCAGATTAGAACGGAGTATACCTCAATAGACGATGATAGAAGATACTACGCCAGAACAGAACAACATATAATACTAGCATATCATATGAAAGAGTACATGTTTTTCCAATACTATACCATATAGTACAATTTGATAATATGGAATATTTCGGTATGTTGCAACAATGTAGCATAATGTTCCGTAAAGCAACATAATACAACACAGCACAGTCTAACACACCATAACCGCCAAAACATCGTATAAAACCATATAGAATAATGCAGCGTCATGAAACCTGGTACAACATCGTATATCAGAGTGCAACTCGGTAGAACATAGCATAGCAGAGAACAGCATATAGCCCAGTTCAAGAAATCGTTATGTACCTTACTCAGACATGAAAAAGCATAATAACACAGAAGGTGGAGACTGCGGATTTAAGGCATCGGGGCTTCGGCCGCCAGCGCCTTAGGAGAGCATAGGCCTTGGGGCTTGAAAGGTCCTTTGTAGGGTTCTCTTCCGACCCTAAACCTAGGACATTTTCAGGTGGGTGGTTACCGCTATAGGAGCCTTGTAGAAGGTCTATATACCTTCCAGAAGCCTTATAGAAGCCTTATATATCCTAAACTCCCCACCTGCAGTTTCCTTTAACATAGATCCTTTTTTTATACAACCTCAATATAGCCATTAAATACCCATTATATAGCCCGTTATAGGGAGGGATACCCCATTCAGGCTCCCTCCTTTTGCCCTTTGATTCTCTTACGACCCTATGCCCTGAACCGTTGCCCAGGGAAATGGGGTGCAACTCTTCGAAGGGTCATCCCGGCACGGCCGGGGCCTTGGATTTTAAGCATTTCGGCTTTAGGGCTTTAAAGCTTTAGGGGTTTAGGGTTGTAGGATTTTAAGGGTTTTTAGGGTGTAGGGTTTTGGGGTTTAGGGTTTTAGGGTTTATGGTTTAGGGGATCCCGTCTGGCTCCGTTTGAGGAGGGTTAGTTTTCTTACTTGTTGTTCTTGGTTGAAGCATGTTTGGGTCATTCTAGTTTTGTGGGTCTTTGTTGATGAGGGTTTAGGGCTTTAGGGCTTTATAGGTTTAGGGTTTTAGGGCTTTAGGGCTTTAAAGGTTTAGGGCTGTAGGGCTGTAGGGCTTTTAAGGTTTAGGGTTTTAGGGCTTTAGGGCTTTAAAGGTTTACGGCTTTAGGGCTTTATGGGTTTAGGGTTTTAGGGTTTAGTTGGGGCTTTTAAGGTCTAGGTCTTTAAGAGTTTGTAGGGTTTAGGTCTGTAGGGCTTTGGGGTGTCTTTAGGGTTTAGGGTGTTAGGGTTCATGATAAGGGTTTTAGGGTTACGGCCAGAGGACAATCACTGTTGCTGGCTGTGGACCCAGGGACTCCAATACCCCTTAATTAAGGAATATACCTTAAATCTCGTTAGGGATCCTACTATAATTTAAGGTATGTTCCTTAATTAAAGGGTATTGGAGTCTCTGGGGATGTTAACCTTGTACAGTTGCCGTTGCTGCAGTGCTTACATTTAAACAGTTCTAAGTACACATGGAAATTCTTCTTGTCCACGTCGGTAGTATACTGCCGAGTTTTCCTGCAACCGGAGTTGCAACAGTTGTCGATATGTGGGATCGTCGATCATTCCCTTGGCGATCGGGAACGTACCAGATGGGGAAAGTACAAACAGATTTGTGCTTCGAAAACCCTGTGCGGAGAATGGTGCCTATAGTGCCATCACGAATACAGAAACTACCACGTGCCGGTGCCTCTTGTGATTATGCATGTCAAGTGCAGATCGCCTGCATCCATTGGAGCGGACCTTCATCAATTTGCTGCAGCGCTTTATAGGTTTAGGTCTGTAGGGCTTTAGGGTGTCTTTTTAGGGTTTTAGGGTTCATGATGAGGGTTTTGGGGTTAAGGGCCTGATGGGTTTAGGGTTTTAGGGTTTAGGGCTTTAAGGCCTAGGTCTTTGGGTTTTGGGGCTTTAGGGTTTAGGCCTTTAGGTCTTTAGGGTTTAGGGTGTTAGGGTTCATGATGAGGGTTTTAGGGTTTAGGGCCTGGGTCGAGTCTCGGTCTGCGGGATTTGGGGCTTCAGGGTTCAGGGCTTATAGAGTTTATAGGGTTTAGGGTGTAGGGTTTAGGGTTAGGGCTCTAGGGCTTAGGGTCTAGGGTTTAGGTCTTGCAGGGTTTGGGGTTCAGGGTTGGTTGTAAAAGTTTAACTAGGGGCACCTTGTGCAGCTGCCCAAGTTTAGCACGGATCCTGATAAGGGTTTAGATTGCATTAGTCTACATTTGGAGCCCTTTTTTAAAAAAGTTCCGGGTTTAGATTTGTGTGGTTCAGTCTTACATGCTGCAGGTTGTTGTGGCTCATTTAATAAGTTTAATCCTAAAAGCATGCATCTCTTGATCCGGGTAAACCCTTATCCCTAAACCCAAAACCCTAAAACCCTAAACCCTAAACCCTAACTCCCTAAATCCCTAACACCCTAAAACCCTAAAGCCCTAAACCCTAAACCCTAAAACCCTAAAGCCCTAAACCCCAAAACCCTGAAACCCTAAAGCCCTAAAGCACCAAACCCTGAACCCTAAATCCCTAAATCCCCAAAAAGCCCTGGGAAACGTCGGGTCCTCTGGGGGCAGGGTACCAAGACGCTGCTCGCCAGCACCGGATCCAGCCACAAGGTGGGGATTAGGGTTTAGGGGTTTAGGGGTTTAGGGGTTTGGGGTTCAGGGCTTTGGGGTTTAGGGTTCATATGGGGTTTGGGGGTTTACGGTTTAGGGTTTAGGGGTTTAGGGTTTAGGGTTTAGGTTTCAGGGTTGGGTGTCTGGCATTTTCGGGTTTTGGGTGTCAGGGGTTTAGCGGTTAAGTTAAGGGGTTTGCGGCCCCAAGGCGCCTGGCCCCAGACGGCAGAGGAAAAGGTTGAAAAGGAAGGTCTATATACTCTTATATGTATATGTATATATAGAACACATATATGTATATGTATATATACATACATACATACATATACATATATATATATATATACATACACGTAAAAAAAAGGAGCCTTCACATTCTGAATGGGCCTGGTGCTTACAGTGCCGTAAAACTTTGTGGGGACTGTGGGGTAAGGTCGACCCTGTATGAAGTCGGGTGTGGGTGTGAACATATATATATATATGTATATACAAGGGCTTCTTGGGAATATTGGTGGATGTATGTTTTGTGCTTTGGAATGGGCACACTGGCATTGAAAACGCCTCTCACACAGAGTCTGTGAACCAGGCGCTTCGATTCGGTCGCTTGCCAAAGGTACTGCAGGAGTTCACGAAACAGCTTTGGCAGATACGGAAGCGGTGCTTGGCATCATCTGGAATGACATCGACATGCCTGTAATTCATGGTACACAACCAAAAACCTTAAACCCTAAAGCCCTCACCTGAAGAGATCGCGAGGATCTAACCTGAATATGACCAGCGCCTAGACACGGAGACCCTAAACCCTAAACCCTAAACCCTAAACCCTAAACCCTAAACCCTAAACCCTAAACCCTAAACCCTACGGTCGGTGATTTTAGTGGATCATGTGAAAAAATTGAAGCCATACCTGTCAACTTTGCGCGCTCGAACCCTCCAGGTCCCTTCATGTTTCAAGTAATGTAGGGGCCTATATAATTACCAATACTTTTTTTTTTGGGGTGGGGGGGGGGGTCCTTATTATAATTATAGTAGAATGGGCCCCAAAACCCTATGCTAGTTATTAAGGTCCCTATATTTCCCATATGAATTCAAAAATCTTCATGCAGGCTCTTGAAACACTCTCTGCTGTGTCCCATGATCCTTTAAGCTGCCCCCCTGATCCCTGTCCGAGCGACCGAGCGCTTCCTGGACTTTGTGGACTTTCAAGAAATTGAGGTTTACGCTGTTTAGAGCTTGAAGTTTGGTATGATTTAGGTTTGGATGTTGTAGGTGCTATTCCGAGGATTTAGGGTGGATCTATACACCTTCTTGGGGCTTTGAAACTCCTAACTGATCTGAATCATGAACCATTCTCGACCCTGGGTATGTTCGAGACCCAAGAGTAAACTGAATACACCCGAAACTCCAATGCTTCAACCCTTCCCGCAGCATAACCGCGGATCAGGGCGGAAGGGGTGATGCGTGGGGCCCTCGGATGGCTGACTTTTAGGCTGCAAGAGTCTTGTTTCGGTGAACGTTTTACAGTCTAGGATTAAGGGTTTTTTGCGGGTTTCGTCAGGTGCGATAGTGTACGAAGTAGCAGTGTAAACTACGAAACACCCTAAAACCCTAAACCCTGAGCCCTGCCGTAGAAGAAGTGCTCGTAGCAAAACCAGGCCCCTTTAGCATCAGAGGTTTTTCAAGGTTTGGGGCATTGAGGGCTCAGGAATTCGGGATCATGGATCGAGTGGTTCGTGCACCATGGTTTAGGGTTTAGGGTTTAGGGCCGGGAGCTGACACAAATCGTAGAAAGGTTCTTTGCTGTACGGCTTACCCAACCCTAGGCCCTAAACCCTAAGCCCTATTACCCAGGAACTCCTGTAGTAATATTGGGACCTTAATAATTACCAATACTATTTTGGGATCTCCTTGTTAAAAGTATAGTATACTGGCCCCCAAAATCCTATTCTAGTCATTACATTAGGCGGGAAGCCTCAACAGAATCCGCGCCCCGGAAGTTGATTCAACGGCGTTTTCCGCCTATGCAAAGTGTGCACGGATCATACCCCGAAGTTTGCTAGAAACTAAGTAATAGAATCCGGCACTGCGACTCAGAATCTTCTCGGTTCATATGAGTGCTTAAAACCCGCATGGCTGCCGCCTTAGCAGGCTCGGGGAGGCCAAACGGCAGGGAAACTTCGTCAGGTTGCAGTTTTGTAGGGGCCTTGATATTTAGATTGCGGTTTTGGGGGTATATCATACTATCGTTGTTCTAAGGAACTCCCAAAATAGTAAAGGTAATTATGCAGGCCCCCTTTATTATGATCGTTATTGAGACAGCGAAATCGCTAAGACACAGAAGGTGCCGCACAAAGACCGAGAGCAACAACACAGGCCAGTAACGCCAACAACCGAAGGGGTTTAGGGTTTAGGGACAGCAATGTGGTCGTCGTAAAGCCCGCATGCGAAAACCCTAAAGCCCCCGCCTAAACCCTAAGCCCTAAGCCCCCGAAGCCCCACCTAAACCCTGAAACTCGGAAGCCCCAAAGCCCTGAAGCCCCAACGCCCCTAAACCCTAAAACCGTAAACCCTAAAACCAAAAAGCCGCTAAACCTTAAACCCTAAAGCCAAAAAAAGTCGTTAAAACCCTAAAAAGCCCGGAGGCCCCCAAAAGGCCTCAGCTCTCTTTCTGCAGGTCAGGGCGGCATGGAGAGGACCGGCAGCTTCGGAGGTTTTCATACAAGAATGTAAAAGTTATTCCGGCTTTGTCTATGGAGGCGTTATAATAAAATCATACAAGAATATAAGAGTTCTGAAGGCTTTTTGAGGGTTTTCATAGGGTTGGGGGGTGAGGGGCTTAGGGTTTAGGGTTTCATATAAGAACAAGGTATTCAGGCTTGTTTTGTATGGAGGCTTTATAATGATGAGGTGTTTCTGTTGGTTTGCAGGGCTTGTTAGGGCTTGGGGGCTCACTGGAGGCTATGTGAAAAATTATGCGATCCCCTCCCCCCCCCCGGCTTTACAACACAGCTTAAAGGAATGAACAAAAAGGGGCCTGAATAATTAGACAAGGGTTTGCGGGTATAATATACTATAGTTGAAACAAGGAACCCCCGAAACCCTATTTCTAATTATTAAGGCCCCTGCACCCTAAACCCTTATAGTAGCCCTTATGGAACCCTTTAAGGAACCCTTTAAAGGAGCCCCCCAAAACCCTACTCTAATTACTTTTTTGGCCCCTACAGTATCTACACGAGGCCTAGTTTGCGGGTCCAAGGCAGAGGGCTGCATGCAAGGGTGTCTTTTTTGTCATTGCTTTCGCAGTTTATTTTAGGCCGGCCCGCCAGATGTACTGTAGGGGCCTTAATAATTAGACTAGGGTTTTGGGGTAGATTATACTATAATTATCACAAGGAGCCCCCAACAGAATATAGGTAATTATCAAGGCCACTAAACCCTAAGCCCTAAACCCAGGCAGGTGGAAAAGAGGTGACAAAAAAAAGCCCTATATAAACCCAAAACTACATTAAATACATTTGAGGGCAGGCGGGCGCTAAGAAGCCGACAGAAAGATGCTGCACCGACGTGGACGCTTTCATCCTGCCGAGGTTCTTCCACATGCTGGTTATCGCTTTAGGGTTTAGGGCCTAGTCTAGGGTTTAGGGTTTAGGGTTTAGGGTTTAGGGCCTAGTTTGGGGTTTGGGGTTTAGGGACCCACCCAACCAGAGGCCCTCGCCGAACCACTGCGGTTCTCTCCCGCCCGCCTTGGCAATGTAAGAGACTTGCTCCCTGTCCAGGAGGGCATCAGGATGCTAAACCGCCGTTGACAGAGTATTCTGCCAGGATTTTGCAGTGGCGAACCTCTCGCATTGCATGATGCGTTGCGCGAGTTGTCCAACCACTCTCATGCACAACTCCGCACCAACTCTCATTATGAAGCAGGCTTTGCAACATTGCCTGAGATGCAAGAGGTTTAGGGCTTAGGCCGAATAAGCCTAATATATGGTTTGCATGATGTAATGTAGTGGTTTATGGGGTTTGACGGTGAGCTTGAAGTCTGAACTATTATGGCGCCTGAGTTACTAGGTTGTAATTAACTTGGATTCTACGTACCTGAGTTGGCGTTGCTGTACTTGTGCCCTACGCCTGAAACCCGAAACCGTGCCCTCAGTCTTCGAGAGGACGCTGGAAAGATTCACGGATCATGGGACTGAGACTGAGTCTAAGCATAAGTAGGTCATACGTAGGGTTATAAATAAACACGGTAACCCCAACGAGCGCACTTGTAAACCTATCTTAAAGCCTGCTCGTCCCCACTTACTAAGCCGGCAGATCTCGCTAGTAAGCATATATATATATATACATATGTATATATATATATATATATTACATATTTATTTATGGCCAGGACAAGCCAGTGACGAAAGTCATCTCTGAGGTGGGCCCAAGTGCGGTCTAGAGTTGCTGGCTCTAGGTGCCAATAATTATCTAGCATGGGGCGTGTTGGGGGTTGTTCTGGCAGATTTGGGAGTTTCAGAACATAAGGGATACCTTAAACAGGTCCTTATATAATAAGGAGCCTACTATTTAGGGTACTATACTAGGGTCCCTTATTTTCGGAAACCCCCATTTATAGCCTTGGCAAGGAATCCTAAGAAATAGTATTCGTGAGTATTTTATGGTTTCGGATGTGCAGGGCTTCACAGCGTGAGATCTTCGTGTATTTGGTGGGAGCTGTGTGGCGAGGCTTGATGTGAGGGCTTTATGGGAGCCCTTGTTTCAGAGGTAGATTTTGGGCTACTTTAGCCTCATGATTCGGGTGCAATGGTGGGTGGGGCAGGGGCGCAGGGTAGGGTGATGTTCTCAAAATGTCGGGGTGAGGGCTTTCGACGTAGGATGTAATGTTGAGGGCTTAGGGTGGAAGGACTTGGCCCTAGGCAAACGCATCCCCGTTCCACTTAAGCTCTCGGATTCACCGTAAGAGTGTTTGTGTTTGTCGGCACTGTCGGCACTGATCTTGGTAGTCTTAAGCTGTAAAACCTGGCACCAGCTATTTAGAGTCCTAAATTACGTACACGAACCCCAGACGACACCTCATGAAGACAAAAAGTGCAGCACGGCAGCTGAGAAGCAAGGCCGTATCATGTCCATGTTCGACATCGACGTGGCAAAGTTGGGCGTCAAGAACATGGACCAGCTGACGCTGAACAGCGAGGGCGACCTTGCCAAGTTGGATTGGAGCCGGCCTTTTGTTGCCATGACGGAGTCCTCAATGCTGCCGAGCGTGGAGAGAGTGCTGTGCGATTCCCGAGTGAAGGCATGTTTGGATTCCTTTTATCAGGGATTCCCGCCGCTGCGCTGAAGGGCAGCAAGCGCTTCACGACGCCTGTGATAGAGACAGTGACGCTGCACAAGGAGTTTCTGAGTGACTTCAAGGCCAAGCAGACGACCTTGACAGGCCTTTCTCACCTTCTTTGATCAATGTGAGTCAACTCTATTGAAAAGTGTGCTATAGGGTAGGCCGTACTGAGCAGTCTGTTTGGATTAGTCTCTTGACAGCAAGAGATCCTGAAATCTCAACGATCGACACCCCGACGCCCGAATGAATTTAAAACCCTGGCAACCAAACTCCCGGATGCCCTAATCCCCAGCATCTCAAGCTGTAACATGCTAAACCTACCAACATCTCGAAACCGAACCATCAATTGCCTGAAACCCCTAAACCCTAAACCCTAAACCCTAAACCCTAAACCCTAAACCCTCAAGAAGACGCAAGTTTTCATCCCTGCCAGGACCGCCGCACCCAACATAACCAAAGGCAATTTTCGATCTTCGATCCCTTGTGAACTCCTTTCTGAAACTCGTAGGAGCCACTATAGTCATTACATAAGCCTTGGGTTTAGGGTTTAGGGTTTTAGGCTTTTTTTGCCCCTAAACCCTTAAACCCTGAACCTGTAGTCTAGCAACCCTCCTAACCCTAAATACCTACACCCCGATGGTACCCTAAAGGAACCCTAAACCCTAAACCGTAAAACCCTATATGGCACCCCTATGGTACCCTCCTGAAGCCCTCAACCCTATACCCTAAACCCTAAACCCTAAAGCCTAAACCCTAAACCCTAAACCCTAAACCCTAAACCCTAAACCGCAAAACCCTATATGGCACCCCTGTGCTAAACCCTAAACCGTTATATCCCGAACCCTTGAGCCCCAAGGCTCAGATCATGCAGTACACGCCGACGGAGGCCTGCTTCGGGGCTCCGGTAAGCCGTGGCAGAGGGGTGTTTTAGGGTTCAGGAATCTTAGGTTTTGAGGTTCACGCGGGCTTTTCCTAAATCCCTAAACCCTAAACCCTAACACCCTAACACCCTAACACCCTAACACCCTAACACCCTTAACCCTACAACCCTAAACCCTGGGATGCTGGTCTTGTGTGGGTTTGGGGTTTTGGGTTGTCGAGTTCATTGAGGTGTTTTGCTGCTGAGGGTTTACCTTAACCCCCCGGATACCTACTACGTAGGACCCTAGGGGCTCTAGTACCCTAACATAGTATGTACCTGGGGGTTAGGGTTTAGAGTTTAGGACTCAGGCTTTGGGGTTTAGGCTTTGCGGTCTTTGGTTTACGTGGTTGGCAGGGGTAGCATGATGTACTCTCTACCCTCCTCTAGCGCCTCATGCATGCCGCTCAAAAACCCTTAGAAAGTCCGGCTTAAGACCGGCAAAGTCGTACACCTCAAACGCCAAGCCTTGCACCTCAGGCCCATAAACCTGAATGCCCCGAAATCTTCCGCAGTGCGGCTTAGGGTTTAGGGTTTAGGGTTTAGGGTTCAGGGTTTAGGGTTTAGGGTTTAGGGTTTTGAGATGCGTAAACACATCCTGAGCCATTTTCCAACACTGTATGTTCAGAGTGTGCTCAGGCTTCTCGAAAGGAGGTTCAGGGTAAAGGTTCTCTCCAAAACCTGGGGCACATGCCTGGGTTTAGGGTGTAGGGATTTCGGGGTTTGGGGGGTTTAGGGGTTTAAGGTGTTGGGGGTTTTGGTTTGCGGTGCCTCGTGTCGCTTTCGGCCACTGCTTGTACTTTGCTTCTTGAAAAGTGTGGGCGGTTGAGGTTGGTCCCAATAATCCGGATGGTGGTGAAACCCTGGACCGTCAAGCCTAAATCCTACACCGTAAAAAAAACCCAAACCGTAAAACCTAAACCCTAAACCCTAAACCTTAAAGTGATTATGGTACAAATGTCAAACATGACGGTGATGCTGGGAGATGAGGACCTTTATGACTTCTGTGGCCTGGACCTTCATGATGCAGGTTCAATGGGTTTAGGATTCAGGGTTTAGGATTTAGGGTGTAGGGGTTTAGGGTGGTGATGACGACGATGATGAGTTGCGTCCGCGACGATTGTGGTAACGGTGGTGGTATGACTGTTTGTCCTCGTGCCGGTAAGAAGCCTGAAGCCCAAAGCCCAATCCCAAGCCCACGTTGTCAGCTGCAGGAGGAAGAGGAAGAGGAAGAGAAGCTGGGGCGCCCAGAAGCTAAATAGGGGCCTAAATAATTATCTATATGATTTTGGAGGTTCCTTATTATAACTATAGTATAATAGGCCCCAAAACCCTGTTCTAATTATTAAGGCCCCTGTATTAGGGATAAATATGATGTCAAAGACCATGCTTAGTATAGCTTTATCTACTATACGACATACGAGGCTTAGGGTGCAGGACTAGGTGTTCGGTTCTTTCATGCCGAACAATAGGGCTCCGGTCGCCGAAAAGAAGGGTTACGGGGTTACGATGACTAGCAATCTACCTTTCCGCTGGCTGATGGTACAAGACAGTGCCACGGGCTTGTTCAAGACAGCGCCGAGTGTAACGCAGTACGCAGCGTAGCGTCCCTGGGTCAATGAAACATCATACAAGTTGTCGTGAAGGGTCTGCAATAGCGCGAGCAACTGCAGTACTCTGGAACAGTATTGAAATCGCTATAGCAGCAGCAGCCAAGGCTACCAAGAAGAGGTGTAACCAGACGAACATTGAATAGTGAGTGTTCGGAGACAGGACGATAAATCTTGTCTTAACGACAGTCATCATCGGCAGCAGCATGCCAGTAATTGTAGGGCGGAGAACGTTCCCTGCTTCTGAGGCCCCGGGCATCGCGAAGCAAGCAAAGAAAGGTGCAGCTGTTGTTGTCTTCTGCAGACCCTAAACCCTAAAACCCTAAACCCTAAACCCTAAACCTTCAGGCTGTGCGAGATGGGTCCGATTTTGGTTCGCCGCGCGGGTTCAACCGGGTGTGGATTGATAATTACCTATACTATTTTCGGGGTTCCTTATTAGTAATAACAGTTATACTATAATGGGCCCCTCCAAAAACAGTCGAATTTTTAAGGCCCCTATATTATGTTTATATAAGGCTAGCCCCAGCAGGCAGGTTGCTGCACGGCAGGGTTTTTTTTTGCAAGCCGGCACTGGAGAGGTGATGCCGGGGTCGGAAGGATTGGTAAGTTGTTCCTTGGTCGTCCCTATGAGGGTATGCCGTAGTGAATGCAATATGCGCGCGAAAAACCCTAAACCTTAAACCCTAAACCCTAAACCCTAAACCGTCCCTGTTTTAGCTAGCAAGGCCCCTGTTTTTTGACCTCGATCTGACATTCGCTGTGCTGGAGCCTTGCGGCAGGGGATCGGTGGCAGCTTCGAGCCCCAAGCCCTACAAGACGCGAACCCTGGACCTTATACCGGCAACCCGAACTTAATATAGGGGCCTTAATAGCTAGAATAGGGTTTGGGGTATATTGTACTGTAATTATCATAAGGACCCCCCAAAACCCTATTCTAATTATTAAGGCTTTTACACTAGGCAGATTGAAAAATGCGATTGGCGAACCTGCAAAAGGCAGACTCGCAAAACCCGCTAATCAGCTCGATCAAGCACTCGGAAACTTGGTCATTCCATTCACCAGGCGGGTTATTGCACCCGTCAAAGTCCTGCAAAAAGATCTCACGTAACCCTGTAACTTTTTCATAAACTTAGTAACAGCTGTTGCTACCACTAGTAACACTAGTACTGCTACGGTTCCCTTGTACAACGTAGATACAAGCAGTATTTCTGGTAATACATGGTCATTACGACTAGTGCTCTTATGGGTACCTGCAATCCCAACGCAGGTGACTCCATGGTGTGTCGCTGGCTCTGGGGTCAGGAGCTCGGTGTTTTGGAAGAATCCCCGAGAAGACGAGGGGTTGCCCCTAAACCCTAAAGGCCCTATAACCCTAAACCCGATTTTGAGTGTTTGAGGCGTTTTGGTTTTTGAGGGTTCGGGGTTTAAGGGATTTTTGGGGATTTTCTGGCTTTCGAGGGCTGTGGGGGGCGGAGATTGCCAGGTTTGAAGCCGTTGAAACCTTCCGGCATCGTAGTTTGGGGTCTTGGAGTGTCGGTAATGTAGGGGCCTGCATAAGTAGAACT